GAAAGGTGATACAGTAAATTGCAAGATAAGTGGGATCTGAACTAGAGCAAAGAGTTGCAGACCCACACATTTACAAGTATGAAATACTCAAGAGGAAAAAAAACAGCAGGATTCGGTAGTTAGTAACTGGTTAATTAGCTGAAAGTAGAGGGCAAAAATCAAATACTGCTCACACTGGAAGAAGAAAACCCTGGGAAGAAAGTGATTTTCCCCACCATTGGGGATTAGACCCAGGGGAGCATTCCACTAAACTACATCTCCAGTTTTTTAATTTTTGAGACAGGTTCTTACTAAATTGCTGAAGTTGGCCTCAAACTTACAATCCTCTTGCCTCCACCTCCCAAGTCACTTGGGATTACAGGCATACGCCACCATTCCACCTTGGGAAGGAACCAATTTAAATAAGATGAAAAGTTCTGCTTGGGATCTCTAACTAGAGATGCTTTGAGACATCTATTTGCAGATATTCAGCAAATTGTTGGACATACTGCTCCGAGAAATAAAAACTCTAGGTATTTGTATCTACAAATACACTTTTGGAATACATTAGCACTTAATTTATAACTAATATAGATATGAATGGACAGTGCATCATGCAAAGATAGCATGCACTGTTAGAACAGTGAGAGCCCAAGATGAAACAGCAACAACAAAACCCACTAATATTTAATGCTCAGGTTTAACAAATAAAAAAGAAAAACTGGAAAAAGAAAAAGTAGTGGTCAGAGGCAAATTAGGAAAGTGTTTTAGCCATAGAAGCCACAAGGGAGACTTTCCAAGAAGAAATTATTATCAGGATCAAATATAAAACACAGGCCCAAGAGATTATCATTAAAATAAGTGGTCACTGGAATTGATGACCTAGAAGTCACTGATAATCTAGGTAAATGAAGAGGTCCTAGCTCTTCTACTTTGTGTCTTTATAATTTGGGGCAAGGTAGTTCCTTTCCTCTTAATTCCTCATCTATATAATGAGGATAATAGTGGTACTTATAGGCTTTATAAGAATTAAATAAGATAATGTATGCAAAATTGTTAGCATAGTACTGTCTTAGAATAGGACCACAAGTTTGTCTTTATTGAACATACCAGATAAAAATTATAAAATGATTAAAGAAATTCACTGTTTGTTTGTTTTTTTTTTTAACAGTGCTGAGGATCCAATCCATGGCCTCTCTAATGCTCTACCCCAAGCTACACCTTCAGCCCCAGGAAATGTCCCTTTTAAAAGGCATAGATGCATCAGATAGAGCTCTAATCTCCAGGATATACAAAGAACTAAAAAAGTTAAACAACAAAAAAACAAATGGCCCAATCAACAAATGGGCCAAGGACCTGAACAGATACTTCTCAGAAGAGGATATACAATCAATCCACAAATACACAAAAAAAATGCTCACCATCTCTAGCAATCAGAGAAATGCAAATTAAAACTACTCTAAGATACCATCTCACTCCAGTAAGAATGGCAGCCATTATGAAGTCAAACAACAAGAGCTGGCAAGGATGCAGGGAAAAAGGTACACTCATACATTACTGGTGGGACTGCAAATTGGTGCCCCCAATTTGGAAAACAGTATGGAGATTCCTTGGAAAACTGGGAATGGAACCACCATTTGACCCAGCTATTCCTCTTCTCAAACTTTACTCAAAGGACCTAAAAACGGCATACTACAGGGACACAGCCACATCAATGTTTATAGCAGCACAATTCACAATAGCTAGACTGTGGAGCCAACCTAGATGTCCTTCAATGGATGGATGGATAAAAAAATGTGGCATTTATACACAATGGAATATTACTCAGCACTAAAAAATAATAAGATCATGGCATTTGCAGGCAAATGGATGGCATTGGAGCAGATTATGCTAAGTGAAGTTAGCCAATCCCTAAAAAACAAATGCTGAATGTCTTCTCTGATATAAGGTAGGTGACTCAAAATGGGGTAGGGAGGAAGAGCATGAGAAGAAAATTACCTCTAGATAGGGAAAAGAGGTGGGAGGGAAAGGGAGGGAGAAGGGGAATTGCATGTAAGAGGGAAGGAGACACTCTTCATTATACAGAATTCAGGTATGAAGATGTGAGGGGAAAAAAAAAGAAGTAGGTCACATTAGTTTGGGTAGAGAGTAGTGATGGGAGGGGGAGGGAGGGGAAGGAGGGAATGGAAGGACAGCAGAATAAAATAGGCATTATTATTGCTGTGGGTATATATGTGACTGCATGACCAATGTAATTCTGCAACCTGTACACTCAGAAAAATGAGAAATTATATCGCATCTGATTCAAATATATGATATGTCAAAAAATTTAAAAAATAAAAGGCATGGATGTTTGTGCATTTATGACAAGTCCTTATGGAATCCTGATTTACAGGCTCGTAGTTAGCTTCAATAAATAGGTCACTATTAGTCCACTGGGGGGCGGGGCACATTGTAGATAAACAAAATAACTCTACATATGTGTGTATATATTTTACAAGTCACTAAAAAAATGTCAAATACTTGATTGTAATTTCAAATTGGAAAGAATCTTCCTCTTAAATGGCACTGAGATACACCTCCCATTAATTTCTGGAAGAAAGTATACACTGAGGACACTTGTTCATCTTTGTGTCAAAAATGAATTAAACATAACTCTGAATAGTAATAAGTGCTATAATGTTGTCTCTCTTTTTAATTTACATGCACAGTCGTCTTTAATGATATAGTATATAACTCTCCCAGCCAATCCAAAGAGACCAAAAGATTCAATTATTCCCCAGATCCACAAGCAGTTACCTATTTCCCTTATATATCAGAATTTCATTACTGCTAGAACAGACAAACAGTCAGCATATAGTAAAAGATCTTATGATCAATAATCAACATGCCTGAGAATCTAGAGGCATGCATAAAAATACATTAAATTTCATAATATATAGCCTCATTACTGCTAAGAGTGTTGTCATCTTTTAAACAAACAAAACAACTTCCCTTTAATAAAACAAGGAGTAAAAACATCAGTAAAGCTCTGCATTAAAGTAATGAAAATATAATCTATAATTAAGATGTGAATAAATGATTTGATTAATAATTTAAGAAAACATAAAGTATGTAGCTTGGTAGTTGTAGTAAACATATATGATGAACAAATTACATTCAGGAATTTTACACAAAGGTATTTAGTGGTATGGTTCCTAGCAAAAGTCCTTAAGACTATTTCCCCCAGAAAATAAGTCTATTCAGCAAAATCATTCCTTAGAAGGATTTACTAACTGCAAATGAATACATAGTAAAACACCCTCACTGCACATCTTCATTGTCCTTTTTTCCTCTCCTCTGTACTTCAAGTACAATAGTCACTAGACTGCCAAAAGCACCAGAAAGCACAGACCTTAGATATCTGTTTTCAAAAATATTTTGCAGATATTAAGCAACTAAAACTAAGATGTATGGACTCTATAACTTAAAAATGAATTCATTTTGTAACATCAAATAGGAAAAAAATGTTTTTTCCTCTGTTTAGCATTCTCACTACATAACACTAATCAAGAAAAATTCTCAATATACAAAACTCAAACAATAAGAAAATAAAAACCCTCCCCTCCTTCAGCCCTGGAAATACTACACAATAACTGAGTATTGACACTGAAGCACTGAAAAAAAAAAATAAAGTGCTCTGTTAAGGATTAAAAAGCATTTTCAAGAAAAATACACACAAAAAAGCTATTTCACATAGTTGTACTACATCATATACCAAGTGAGTAGCTATTCCAGGTATTGTAAATGGTACTTTTCAATTAGTAAAAAAGTCAATGATCTGAAAAAAAATATTTTTCAATCACAGAATAAGCAAAAGTGTATTATGATTTATGAGAGATTAGGGATAAAATGGCATTATGTGTTGAAATGAAGGACAGAGCATCAGGGTAAATATGATGTCTTTGTTATCTTCCCCAAAACAATTTAGCTGGCATTGGAACAGTCAACACAAAGGAAAGAAGGAGTTACCTCCAAGTCAGGACAGAGCACTATGGTTGTACCAATCACTGTCTAGCTGCCACTGCTCCTTTTGTGGCAGGGTTATACCCTTACAAAGAAGTGATTCTCTTGGTTGAACCAACAACAACTTAGTCTCAACATTTAATGGGAAACAATTTTTAAATAACTTGAATGAATTTAATACCTATCAACTGTCAATGAAAATATTAAGACTAATTAAGCAGTGTTGTATAAATATACATGACAGTCATTGCATATGAACTCAAAACTTGTACACTTCAGTACATTCATTTTTTCTTAAGATGACATTGAGCTAAACATATGAAACAAAGTAAGAAGAGTCTTTGTAATGTAAACTTCTATAAAAATAATATATAATACATCCCTTACTTTAGTTAGCAAAATCACCAGGGAGAAAAATCCATTATGAAAACTAAACCCAGGCACTTCCCTATTATTTCTTTTATGTTTCTCCTGGAGTCAATTAAGAAACATTTGTTTCACATGTCTACTCAGGGGTGTTTAAAGGGACAACCGGCCCAGACCCAAGTTCATTTTGTAACTGGAGTGGGCTACCCCTCTCCACATCCAAGCACACAGATATACGGTTAGAATGCCTTATGTAGTACTATCCTAAATTGAAGGAAGAAAAAAAAAAAAAAAACAAGCAGAAGACAACAACAAGAAATTCATCAAATCACCCCAAGTCTAATGACACTCAAAGGCCAGCAGTACCCTGCGCCTCAAAATGCTCAAAACCCTGCTACAGAAAAACTAAAAATAGTAAATAAGAGTGGGGGAAGTGTTGGAGACAGAAGTCAGACTGTCCAGGTGAGCTTGAAGTAGGTAGAGCCAGAGGTGATGGGGAAGCAGAAAAGTGACGCAGCCAGGGCGGTCACCTGTGGGGCCACTTGACCCAGCCCCGCCCCCAGGGAAAGCAGCCAGAATTGCAGCCGGAAACCCTAAAAGACGCCGGGAAAACACACAGCTGGGCCCTGTAAGCCCATCCTGGAACTTACCATCCACTGTTTTCTTCTTGAAGAGGGACGCCATGGTTGGGGACCGCGCCCGGGCGGCCCGGCTCGGCCCGGTCCGGCCCGAGACTAGGAAAGGCAAGAAGGGAAAGGACAGGCCTTTGGAGGGCTCGGGGTGGCGGAGCGACCGAGCAAAAGGACAAGGGCAGGGTCGACACGCAGGACCCGTGGAGGGCGTGTATCCGCGAGGCTACCGCAGCCGCGTCGCGGGGAGCTCAGGTGACCGGGAACTAAGACACTTTTTGGAGAAGTCACTTCTAGGCGGCGCCTGCGCAATCTGCACGCACGCCTGCGCACTGCGCCTCTGAAGCCGCTGTCTCTTCCCTCACTTCAACGGCTGCCAGTTCCTGGGCGCTGCGGGGTCGTGGCTGGGGTATACCACGCTGGCTCGGTACGGCGTCGGGAGCTGGCGGGCGCGGCTGGGGCTCCAGTGGGTGTCCCTGCTGACTGCGGACAGAAGGAAGCCTGGTTTAGCGCTTTCCGTCCTGCCCCGGGGAGGCTGGAGTAGGGGGTCCCCAGGGTCCTAGGGAAAGTGCTGGTCGTCCCGGAACCGCCTGGGCCCACTCTTGATTTGTAACTGTCCTGTTGCTGCCAGTATTAATTTTTTTTTCTTACAAAAAAAAAAAAAGAAGAAAGAAAGAAAAAAGTAAGAGGGCTGGTGGGAATGCTGAGTTCAGCGCTCCGCGGTTGCCTTTCGAGTTCACGCCCTTTCCTGCAGTATCTCGCTCAGGGATCTCTTCCTACTGGGGGACCCTAAGCTTTCACGTGTCGCCCTTGACCCCGGGCTCCGGTGACCTGGTGTGGGTCTCGGATGGTGTCCAGGATTGGGGAATGGCGCGGGGAAGGAAGGCATGAGAAGCAAGTTTCTTTATGCACCACTTTCTGTTTAATGCTTTTGCCTGGAAACCTACATAAAAATACACAGGTATTTCTATGCGGGTTTAAATATCTACATCTCTATATCTTTATTTCTTGTAATTATTCAGGAGAAATTCATGACTCTTCAGTGGACCTATGAGAATGCTATACAGCTGTATATTGGTCTTTGGTATATAAAAAAAAAATCTCCATATCATTTAAAGGAAAAGTATAATAAAATATTTAAAGAATACTTGCATGTAAAAGTATAAATATGGAATATACAATCTTGTATTTCATATCTCTTTTTAATGTATTATTTCACTGTTTGGAATCTTAATTTTGCTTTGAACTTATTTTCCTCCCAATTTACTGCTTAGCAACACTGTCTTCCACAGGATAAAAATAACAGCTCTAGCTTGGGGTATTGCTGACTGGTAGAGAGCTTGTTTATCATGTGCAAGGCGTGAGGTTCAATCCCCAGCGCCGAAATAATAGTAACCATAGCAGTGTTGTTGTTGTTGTTTTTAAAGTATATATGACTTCTTGTTTGGAATTTACTCCAATCACAATATTAATATTATCACTCATTTTGGGATTTATGAATCCTGTCTCAAGAATTGTTAACCATTTGGGAGCATCGGTTGCCTTCTCATTTCTTTTCTCTTTGTAAAATATCAAAGCCCTCATGGCCAATGACAATCACTTTCTGGTACTAGTCACAAATATGCTCAAGAAGACTTTCATAAAATTATATAATATGTGAAGTATAATTGTCTTGTTCCTCCTCAAGTTATTTATGTGTTCTTGGAAGAGAAAGTAAGGAAAAATTAGGGGAAAATGTACTTGACATGATGGTCTACACCCATTGCCTGGCCTTTCCTGGAGTAAGCTCTATAGTAAAAAGGCAGATTGCCGTGGCATCCCGTTGTAATGAACAGCACAGAGCCGTGCTTGAAGGCATGAGAAGCAATAAGCTGTTATGTGTGTAGAAATCGTACTTCTCCCTGCTGTAGTCACCCTTGTTTTATTACTCCTACACAATCCCCCCCACTGACCCAATTGTAACAGTTGGGAAAATGCCAAAATACTTAGCAGCAACCATATGGAAACCCTCCAAAAGTGCACAGCAGGAGCTAAAGGCAGGGCTTGTTCATTGCAATAAAGATAAAACAGAAATATGTACTATTTAAACTCAGCACTTTAATAGCTTGATTCTCCCATATTGGAACAGACTGGCTGGCATCCATTCTGATTAATTGGTGCCCAGTCTGTACCCGTTCATATTTTGTATATCATTCCTTATATGAAGGGCAAGATACATTTAAATAAAGCTGAAATTTGGTACCCAAAAAGTTGTAAACCAGAATACAATACTGTTCTTCATTTATTTAAAGTCCCCATTGTCATGTATAAATTTGCTGAATCAGCAAGACATGTATAGAGGATAGAGAAAACATTTTAATTTTTATCTCATTAAGAATTAATGAACTAATGTCCTGTGGTCATATCTTTATGACCTGATGCTCATTTTCTAAATTGCTCAGTGAGAAGTGTTTTTTACATACCTAATGAAACATACCATTCTGTATGCTGGGGATATACCAGTGAAGAAACAAATACCATCTTCTCCCCTTGGCTTTTACCTCCCTCCCTAACATTTTTTGTCTTATCTTTTCTCAATTGTCCATCACAAAGAGGCAGGCTTTGACTCAGTATAAGAAAAGACTTCTGAAAATGAGCTATTCAAAAATGAAATGAATGCTGTATAAGGTAGTGAGTTTCTTGTCACTGAAGTGTTCAAGGACTATGTTATTGTAGACAGGATTTCTTTAAAGAATCAAATCCTTGATTAGAATATTAATAAGATACCTTTAAAATCTGAAATTATGGGGCTGGGGTTGTGGCTCAAGTGGTAGCGTGCTTGCCTGGCATGCACGGGGCGCTGGGTTCGATCCTCAGCACCACATAAAAATAAAATAAAAAAATGCTGTGTCCACCGAAAACTAAAAAATATTTAAAAAATTCTCTCTCTCTCTTTAAAAAAAATCTGAAATTATATAGTAAATAAAATATAACTTAGGCGAAATACCTTGGCTTGTGGTGTTTGAAACCCTATGATAATACTACTAAATCTTGGCTTTACCTATAAAAATATGGTGGAACCAAATGATATAGCAACCCACCATTTCAAATCACCCCAACTCAGCCTTCATCTCTGTTCTGCAACTTTACCACTCATGTTTTTCTGCTTCCATCCTTACCACCTCTGTTCTTTTAAAACATAACAGGCAGAGTGTTCTGCTTAGAATGACATCATGTTATTGTTTGGCAAAAAAGATCAACATAGTCTCAATACTTATATCTGAAACACTCATGTGCACACACCCACCTGTCTTATTGGATAAACTTCTGTTATATGTTCATTAGATGTCCAGATTTTCACTATCTAGATTTTGCCCTTCTGATTATATTCCTTCATTATAGTGTCATCCAGATAAAACATATTCTTTAGATGTGACGTCAGGATAATGTGATCTATTACCTCTCTTGTTCTATACACTGTGTTTCTGATAGCAAACCAATTGCATTAGCAGTTTTGACAATAGTTTCTTTGACTCACATCAAACTTTTACTCTAGTAAAAACCTTTAGCACTTTTTTAAACAAAATTCCCACTCAGTCCTACCCATCTTATACTTGATTAATGGATAATTTTACTCCAACTACAGAGTTTTTCTTGCATCATCTAGAAACACCCATACATCTTCGTACTGATTCACTTATGAACACCTTTGAGGCACAGTAGCTATCTATGAATCCATTCATATAAAATAATATTTTGTAATTAAAACCTTCACCTTTAAGACCATTTTGAAGATTTTTATAATCTTTAATAATACAGAAGCAATGTGCTGATATAAAGGTGTAAAATGACAATGTTATATTCATGTTTTATGAGTTACAGCAGTCATAAAGTTAAAAATTAGTTGAGTTTGGCATTAATTCTTTCTTGGAGAAACATGATTCATCCACATGCTCAAGACTTTTTCCCATGCATTAAAACATAATTCAATCCCCTACTTAAATTTGTTTCCTAGGGTACTCCATCACATAGTTTCCCCCTCTTTGAAAACCAGATACTTGCCATTTCTCATTCTTTTTGGATGTCGTCTTCTGCTCTTCTGGCTCTGGAAGGCAGGCTGCATCATGGTGAATGCTGATTGTGGACAGAGACTGCTGGGTCTACAACAGGTTCCTACTATAATATAAATACATTTAGTAGCAACTCAATGCAGTAGCATTTTAAAATTACCTATGGTTCAAGATTTTTAATTACAAAAGGACAAATGTAACTCAGTACATTCATATTAACTTGACATGATTTCAAGTCTCACATATCTAAAGAAAAGCCAAAATTATCAATATTATATATCTCCATGAACAGCACAGGTCTAGAGAGCTGGTTTCAAAGTCAATAAATAGTTCTGTTTTAGCTCTAGATAAGGATTTAATTTTGTGTACATTGCTTTTTTTGTTTGTTTGTTTTGTTTCCAGTTTCACTTAAGGCTCAAATTTGAACATACTGAAAATTGTTTTACTATTTTACTAACTACCTTATACCATTTTCCCCCTAATATATTCAATGATGCTACAGTATAAATTGTCATTATTCAAAAACAAAAATTAAGATTGACACATCAACTTATCTAGCATTTAGATATTTTTTATAGAAGCATGGAAAAAGTCATAGTCTTTCCTTTCTAAAAGTGTCTTAGTCCTTTCAGACTATAGTGGAAAATACTTAGACTGAGCAATTTAGAAAAAAACATATTTATTGTTATAATTCTGTGAAGTTCAACTTCAAGGGGCCCTCAGTGTTGATGAAGGTCTGTTCCTCATGGATGGCACCTTCCATGTGCTCTCACAGTTCTGGAGCAGCAAACAAGCTCTCAGGCTGCTTTTGTAAGGGCACTAATCCTATCCACAAGGGTAGAGCTTTGGGGAGGTGAATAGGTCACCAGGGCTTCCACAAATATTACAAATTAACATTTTAACTGCAAATTTAGGGTAAGGAAAACATTCAGATCACAATAAGAAATAAGTATCAAGAGCGAAATTAAAGTTTCTTTAAGTTATATAGTTGGTGAGGAGCTAGAGCCAAAGTACATAAAAACAGTCCCACCTTTCCATTCCTTCTTTCCCTCTCCTACTTCCCTTTCTTCCTTTTTATGTTTATTTATTTTTGTAGGATCAGAACGTGACAATCAGTACATTGATGTCCGCCCACCAATAAGTTTGTAATCTTCAGGACAGATTCCCTAAGTTGTTCATACTTCATAGCCAACAAAGTAGGCTCTTTGTCAAGGTCATTGTGACAATCAGTGTCTAGGTAGGTGAC